AGAGGCTTCTTCTCCCTCATTGCTGGTATGATTCTCAGAATCAGGAGTGYAAGATTGTTGAYTTTGAGGGGCCTAAAACCTGGGTTAGAACCTTTAATTATCTTGCTTTTAGCAGAGATCAGAAATAAAGCAATCTTAAACTTTCCATTGAGCAGCAAATTTTGAAAACCACATTTATAATGTTTATCACATTTACGTTAAATCTGATTCACCCATTTTTAATTTAGGTTACCCATGAAAAGCAAATTTAGTTAACATTTTAAGTCATCCTTTTCTGTTGAAGGATAATCCTAGAAGAAGTAATGGACATTAGAAGCAATGGACATTATATTAAAATATTTAATAGAAAATGAGATTTTCTAATGTTGATCATCTGGAAAAAAGTGTTACTGATTTTGAAGATATCATTACCTTGTTTTATCCAATTTAAATTGAACTTTAAATCATGTGAATCAAAGGTATTTGGATCTATTCTTGAATTTTAGTTTAAAAGCACTCTATATGTTGGTTTTGATACACACACACATGTAGACAAGACAGTACACAGAACAAATGAGTAAAGGTCTTATAACTTTTAAAACTTATTGAGCTGGGATACAGCTCAATTGGTAGAGTGCTTGTCTTGCATGCACAAGGCTCTGGGTTCTATCCCCAGCACCACAAAAAAAAAAAAAAAAAAAAAACCTTATTAGATTAAGAGCCAACTTTTGTAAATTAGTCTCTGAGCAAAGCAGAATGTCAGAAATTATAATTTTGGTGCACAGGAACAAAAGTATGAGCTCAAAAATACACAATTTTAAAAATAAGAGTCCTATGGGGCTGGGGATGTGGCTCAAGCAGTAGTGTACTCCCCTGGCATGGGTGCGGCCCGGGTTCGATCCTCAGCACCACATACAAACAAAGATGTTGTGTCTGCCGAAAACTAAAATGTAAATAAAATATTTTAAAAATATAAAAAATAAGAGTCCTAGGAAAAATATTATTAATTATTTCATTAAGGTGATATGAGAGAATGTGAAAGAGAGAGAGTAAAAGGAAGAAGGAGTGAGAGAGAGAGAGAGAGAGAGTTTTGAAGTCATTTTTCTGTGTTGCAGCCAAGCTAAAAGTTAAATTGACACTTTTTTCTCCTTTAGTCTTAGGCCTCTTATCAAACCTGCTAAGTATGCCATTTGTATTTCATTGTTAGCTTCAGTGTGGCCTTGGCTAGGGAGATSGCTGCCTAGRGATTTTTTTTTWAATATTTTATTTTTTAGTGGTAGTTGGACATAATGCCTTTATTTTATTTATTTATTTTTATGTGGTGCTGAGGATTGAACCCAGGGCCCCACACRTCCTAGGCAAGTGCTCTACCACTGAGCCACAACCCCAGCCCCTGCCTAGGGCTTTTTAACCCTATTTTTCCAATTGGTAATTAGGCCAGGTTTGAATGTATAAAATTATGAAACATTATTAGTAAAGATGAGGAAGAGTGGTACCATTAGGAGAGTGAAGGAAGCTGTTGAAGTTGCTGGTTGGAGCCCATTATCAGATGGAAGGAGGGAGGTTAAAGGGAGGAATGAGATCTTTAAGGAGAACACTAGAAATGGTTTGTGCTCTTTTTTGTGAGTGGTGGGAAAGGCCTCAACCACTCTAGAGAATATGTCAACCAGGACTAGGAGATACTTGAAATGTTTTACAGTGGGGATGTGAAGTCAATTTGCCAATTACTGGCTGGTAAATGTCCTCTTGCGTGGTAAGTTGGAAAGGAGGGAGGGTGAATGTTAGAGAAAGGAATATATATATATATCTTGCAGGAAGAGGAGAGGTCCTGGAGGGATTTGATTTGGTCTGGGTGAGGGTTAGAGATTGTTTGAAAAAGTTCCTTAGAGAAGACAGGTTAGGGTGAAGTAAGTGGTTTAGATAGGTGAGGATGTGATAGGTATCTTGGGTAGTGTCAGGGGTGTGTAGATGTGTTTTGGGCAGTGTTTGGGAGTGTAGAAAGGAGAATGGTGTTGGATTCTTTGTTGGGGAGGAAAAATAGAGCCACCTGCTGGGCCATTTGATCTGTCACGTTGTTGCCTGCTATAACAATGGAATTATCTGTTTGATGGGCTTTACAATATAGCAGGCCAATAGAAGAAGAGAGAAGGGTTCTGGTCCCTTGTTTGTCTAGAAGTAGGCTCTCTGAAGGAATCCAGAGCCTTAATGGCAAGTAAAAGCTGGGCAGAAGAGCAAAAGGGGCAAAGGGAAGGCTTAGAGCAGAGAAAGGAGAAAGCCCTCACATGAGTACTGTCAAAAATTGTAAAGATCCCTAAAATACTGGGATCAAAGGTGCCATTAGGATTCGTTGTCCAAGTCATAGAAGGGCCATTGCTGAGTGGAAATTTGAATTAGCTGATGGGATTTTAGATCTGGAGCCAAATGGAAGGGAACTAAATGGGCAAGAAGTGAGTCAGATGGGATTTTGGATTGGGAGGAGTTGGAGTGCTGGGGTGACTAGAGTCAGGCATTCCTGGCTCTAGACTAAACCAGAGTGAGAGAGGACAGCAGTGAAGGGGGTTATCACCACATGATTCACTGGCCCCAAGCTAAATGCCATCTCCAGAGAGTCCTGGTGCAGAGCCCAAACTTATCTCTAGACATGAGAGGAACCTATTTTATGGCACAGATGAAAGAAAAGTGACATAGAACTGATCACTCACACATCTGGGATAAGAAGCAGGTTTATTGTCAGAAGCCTGACAGGCTGCTCTGCAGAGAGGCAGAGAGAGAGAGAGAGAGAGAGAGAGAGAGAGAGAGAGAGAAAGAGAAAGTGAGCGAGAGCGCACAAGCGTGTGCCAGCGCAGCAGCAACTCCGCCTTGAATGTTTCTTTTTGTAGATTAGACTCATTGCCACGCAATAGGGGTGGGTTTAGTCCTGGTGACTGGCATAGCAAGCATCACCTGATTTTGTGGAAGGCAAGTTTGTTTCTTGGGAACAGAGACAGGCAGTTCTCCTATCTCTCAAAGAGGGAACAGAGAGAGACCGGCACATCTCCAGACCAGTAAGTCTCTGGATAGCTTCTATTTCTTAAGAATAAGAACAGTTTATTCATAAAGTAGGGGTGGGGAAAGGAAGATGGCTGTAATTATGCCAACACAACCCAGGGCCTCACACATTCTAGGCAAGCTCTCTACCACTGAGCTATAGCCCCAGCCCCCATTTCTCCTTTGCTAGCAAAGCAGTAGACCTTTTTCCTTTTTCTCAAAAACTGTGTCCTCATTATTAGATTGGCATGGAGACAAGGACAGAGCTTCCAGCAACAGACCCACATATGAGCATGTGTTTGATTTCTTGCAGCACTTCGGTATTTCTAACACTACTTCGTTGTGCACCAATGAACTCAACTACAAAAAAAAAAAGAATCATAATTATGGACCTTTCCTTACCAGGTTTCTGTGAAGATTAACATATGTAAAGAGCTTGGAAGGTAAGTTCGGGATCTTGGGGCATGGTCCTTGTCTCTAAAGGAGTGCACTGTCTACAGCTGCCTTGTCCACTTGTAGGTCCTGGCAAGCAGAGCCATCTGAGACTTCTGGTACCAAGTAACCTGAAGCTCCGGGCTACCCTTGTGGCAATCTTTCTTTTTTTTCTTAGTAATGGGTATTGAACCCAGGTCCTTCTGCATGCCAGGCAAGAAGCACTCTACTAAAAAAAAAAAAAAAAAGAAGCACTCTACTACTGAGCTATATCCCCAGCCCACTTCCAAGAATAGATTCTCTTTTAAAATATTTTTTAGTTTTAGGTRGACACAATATCTTTATGGTGCTGAGAATCGAACCCAGTGCCTCACGCATGCTAGGCGAGCGCACTACCACTTCAGCCACATCCCCAGCCCTCCCAGCTACCCTTTCCCTAACCCAGTGTGTCAGTTTAACTGTGCGAACCCAAATAATTACTTTTCTCTGGGTCTCACTTTATGCATTCGTAAAGAAAAGGAATTAGGCCAAGACTGAGTTCCAAAACCCTAACAACGACGTTGCTCTGGTCAAGTCGCCCATTTCAAACTGGTCTTGGGCAAACTACTTAACAGTTCTKCACTGTTTCCTCCCTGTAAACCGTGGATGACATTACTAAACCCCTCCTAGGGCTGTGGCCAGGGTTTAATAAAACAATACAAGTCCCAGGAGTCAGCACATCGCCAAGCACACTGAGTGTACCCCGAAGAAAACGCAGCCTCTTCACCACCTAAAAGATTGCCTCCGGTCTTTTTACGTCATTTTGCGCACGAACGCCAGCGCCGCTACCGTCCTCTGTGGCTGTAGGATACCGATTTCCGGTTCCGCCGGATCTGAGGCGGGGCTTAGGCTAATGGCGGAGCCCGCGAAACTGACGGGAGAGGGTATTGGGGAGAATGCGGCAGAAGAGGAGCCACGGGTTCTGGAACCCGGGGCCGCTCCGTTCGGAAATTTCCCTCATTATTCCCGCTTTCACCCTCCAGAGCAACGGCTTCGCCTCCTGCCCCCGGAGCTGCTTCGAAGGCTCTTCCCTCCCGAGCGTTCCGAGGCAAGGCCGATCCTGGGGCTCGACGTGGGGTGTAACTCCGGGGTGAGTGACGGGCGAGGGATCTGAGCTCCGGGAGTCAAGTGGTTGGCTGTCTGCTCSTCCAGTGTGGTTCTGGATAGGGCGTGGCATCACACCACCAAAACAGGCTTTAAACTTAATGTTGACCAACTCCATGCCAAGTTCCCGTTCTCTTTCCCAGACCCCGGTGGGGAGGGCCACGGTTCTGAACTCACTGCGTTTGCCTCCTCTTTGCTTGGCTGGCGACCTGACTGGGGAGAGGCGGCTTCCGGGGATTTGTGTTTGAGAGTGTGCAGTTGGATTGGGCAACTGGGAGAGATGGGCCAGTAGTGACAGAATCGTGCCTGAAACAGACTTGTAGGTGTTACGCATGCACAGTACAGGACAGACCCTGGAGCCAGATGGAGGTCTTGCCACTCTTCTTACTACAGAGTATTCTTAGACATAAAATAATTATAGTCCAACCACATGCAAAATAAGGAAATGCCTCTCACCTATTTGTAGCCAATAGGATAGCCTAGAGGAGCAGGCTATCTCACCCCGTGATTGCAAATGCTTCAAAAGTTGGTTCCCCTACTCATCACACCAGGATTGGGGCTGGAAGAGGTGCAGACAATTTTATTGTCTGAGACTTTTGGAAGAAGACTTTAGAAGATGATTTAAGACCTTGAGGTACAGAAGAGGGGGAGAACATTTGGATACATTCCCAAAGAYTGGAATGAGCAGATGTGTGGGTGTCCCTGCAAACATTTCTCTACCATGATGATATAGGAAATCTGGGAAAAGCAATGAAAAAGAGACATTGGGCTTACGGCTTGGAATTTCATATAAGGAATTAAGAAAACACCAGAGATTTTAAAGTTGAGTAGTATATCTTACACACATCAGAAGCAAGGACATAGTTGAAATTAACTAAAGGAATGAATGGTCCTAAGTGTGACCACGCATTTTCTTTTTCTTTTCTTTTTTTTTTTTTTTTTAGTGTTGATGTACCTTTATTTTATTCATTTATTTATACGTGATGCTAAGAATCGAACCCTGTGCCTCACAGATATGAGGCAAGCACTCTACCACTGAGCCATGATCCCAGCCCGTGACTGTGCATTATAAAGAGCTTTCTATTTTGCACTTTTAAAAATATATTTGGGGCTGGGGTTGTGCTCAGCGGTAGAGCACTCGCCTATCATGTGCGAGGCCCTGGGTTCGATCCACAATACCACATAAAAATAAATAAAATAAAGGTGTTGTGTCCTACTGCAACTAAAAAATAAAATATTTTTAAAAAATGTTTATATTTGATTTWAAAAAAATCAAAATACAAAGTCTACAGATGGCTTTTCTATGGGTCTGCATCTGTGGATTTAATCAACCATGGATTGAAAATACATTTTTTWAAAAAAATTTTGTCTGTACTGAACATGAACACATTTTTTTTTTATTCTTATTATTCCCTAAACGATACAGTCACAACTATTTAATATAACATGAGCATCCTTGGATTTCAGTATCCTCTGGGGTCCTCAAACCAGTTCACCATGGATAATAAGGGATGACTTCATAGTAAAAAGTAAGTCTTTACTGTCAACCCTAAATCCTCCTTTCCCCCCACACAGTGGCACCAATGAGTGTAATTGCTTGGGTATCCATCCTGTGTATACCTGAACATTTACAAATGTATAAATAAATGTATAAACATCCCCCATCATTTAATTTTAATAATAGAAGCACACTATTTTATACCTTGCTTTTCATTTAATAACCTGGGGAACATTCATGTCTTTTTTTGGCCTGGTACTGGGGATCCAGCCCTTCACTGATGTGATTGACTAGTTAAATGGGACCACACCCAATATCAGACAAGATGAGAAAGTATGGAAGAAGTAAACAGAGAATGGGGAGAAAATAAGCACTGTGGTTTGGGGCCTTGCTACTAATTTTTGAACACTGGCATGATTTGACAGCTTATTAAAAATATATAATCTCAGGGCTGGGAATGTGGCTCAGTGGTAGAGCAACTTACCTGGCATGTGTGAAGCCCTGGGTTCGATTCCCAGCATCGCAAAAAATAAATATATACAAACCAATCTCAGCCCTCACCCCAGATCTACTAAGTCAGCATGTATATTTTATATATCAGTGATTTATGTGTCCATTAAAGTTTGAGAGGACAAGTCAGGCATGGTAGCACACACCTGTAATCCCAGCTATTCAGGAGGCTGAGGCAGGATAATAGCAAGTTGGAGGCCAGCCATCTCAAAATGAAAAATAAATGGGGCAGGGAATTTACCTCGTGGTAGAGCGCCCCTTGTTCAATTCCCAGTATTAGGAAGAAAAAGAAGCTTTAAGAATCGTGATACGTTAGAAAGGAACCTAATGTAAAAAATTATATAGAAAAACACAAATTAGAGTTGATTATAATGATTATAGAAATCAAAGTTAGCAAAAGGAGAGAGTGACTTCTTTAAGAGTCAAGAAGTTCSTAAGGTAGTGAAAATCATAAATAGTTGGATTTGGCTAGAAGTAGATCATTAGTGTATTTTGGGAATGATGGCTGCAGAAGCAGAATAAGTCTCAGAAGGAGTTGATGAAGTATAAAACAGTATGTAAACTAAAAGATGTAGAATGAAGGCTAAATGAGGATTTTTGGAATCTAGAYCTTTTCCAACCACAGGTTTCTATTCTGAGAAACAGGTTTTCATAAGATGGTGCTTGCTCTATTCCTTACCTTCCTGGTAAGGGACACTGGTTACGCTCCTGGACCACTTTCCTTTTCATTTGGGTCTGAGATACCCCAAAAAAGATGAATTTAGGGCTGGGGTTCTGGCTCAGTGGTAGAGCACTTGCCTAGCATGTGTGAAGCACTGGGTTCAATTCTCAGCACCACAAATAAAATAAACAAAAATAAAAGACCATAAACAACTAATATATATATATATATATTTTTTTTTAAAGATGTGTTTACCAGCATATTATTTAAGCCAGAAAATATTGCTCTAGGCTCCTTTGCAGTATCATTGAGCTATCACTTTGAACCATACAACCYAACCAGCAGTTATCAAGAAAATATAGGGATAGTGCATTTACAGTCTATGACCCCTGGAGGGCGCTGAGAGTCTGCTCAAGAAAAACTACAAACCTCTGTAGGTTATAATTAGGAGGCTCACATCCTATAAAGCCAGAAGTAAGTATGGCAGTCTTAGAGGATGAGAGATTTGTCTTCCATTCAATGTTGAATACTGCAATGACTCTTTTGGATTCCTTTAGGATCTGAGTGTGGCTCTATACAAACACTTCCTTTCCTTACATGATGGGGAGAACTGCTCAGATGCCTCCAGAGAACTCCGTCTCCTATGCTGTGACATAGATCCAGTCCTGGTGGAGCGAGCTAAAAAAGAATGTCCTTTTCCTGATGGCTTGAATTTTATCACCCTGGACTTCATGAATCAAAGGACCCGGAAGGTTCTCTTGAGCTCCTTCTTAAGTCAATTTGGACGTTCAGTTTTTGACATTGGCTTCTGTATGTCAATAACCATGTGGATTCATCTGAACCATGGGGACCATGGCCTGTGGGAGTTCCTGGCCCATCTTTCCTCCCTCTGCCGCTACCTTCTTGTGGAGCCACAGCCTTGGAAGTGTTACCGAGCAGCTGCAAGGCGTCTCCGAAAGCTGGGACTCCACGATTTTGATCACTTCCATTCCCTTGCCATCCGAGGTGATATGGCCAATCAGATTGTGCAGATCTTGACCCAGGACCATGGCATGGAATTAGTATGCTGCTTTGGCAACACCAGTTGGGACCGAAGTCTTCTACTCTTCAGGGCATCTGATCCCTGAATCACTGATAGAAGAGAAAGAAAGGAACAGATTAAGATTCTGGAGGCAGTAAGATGGGAAGGCAGAAAAAGATACTGAAAAGACTTTTAACTTGAGAATTATGTTCACTGTCCTGGAACAGTGAGGCAGCCTGAAAACCTAGCAGAAGCTTTTGGCAAAATGTCCAAAGCATGCAACTGAAAGAATGTCTGTTCCCCATTATTTGGGACAATCCCTGAGGAGAATGAATTCAAAGATCAGTGAGCAAGGGTATTTAGATGAAGAATATGATCCTTAGTTGTAGGATGTGGAATAGACTATTCCTAGGTTTCTGTTTGTGGTACTGGTGATCAAAACCAGGGCCTGTGCATGGTAGACAAATGCTCTTAGCACTGATCCATATCCCCAACTCTTAAAGGTCATTAAAAATTAGACCAGGCTTMGTTGGRTGCAGTGGCACATGCCTGTAATCCCAGTGGCTCAGGAGTCTGAGGCAGGAGGATCACGACTTCAAAGCCAGCCTCAGCAAAAAGCCAGGAGCTAAACAACTCAATGAGACCCTGTCTCTAAATAAAATACAAAATAGGGATGGGGATGTGGCTCAGTGGTTGAATGCCCCTGAGTTCAATCCCTGGTACCCCATTAAAAAAAAAAAAAAAGCCAATCATGATTGCTGGAACAAGCCTGCAATCTCAATGACACAGGAAACAGAGGAGGATTGTCTCAAAAAAATAATAAGGACTGGGAATGTCTCTCAATAGTAAAGCAGTCCTGATTTCAATCCCAGGTATCAAAA